GCTGTCTTTGAACCATCGTTCTCTGATGTCAGCCTTCTGAGTAGCTACAATTCTAGGTGTGCCTAGCTGAAAACAAGTTCTTGACCACAGAACTCTTAGTTTGGGATGACACACAGGCCAACATTATTCTATTACTGGGATTGTAAGGTTACTCCTAGGAGATGAATGAATGAGACAATTAATTAGCAATGTCTGCTGTGGGGTTAAAATCAGAGGTAGTGGACAAAGAGCTGTGAAAAGCACCTTCAACTTGAAACCAAGAAACAAATTTGTGAGTGAATTTCTACTTTCTCTTTTGATGACACCCTTGTAACCATGGGATTATGTAGTTTATTACGATAAATAAAATAGGGTGGGAATGTGGACAGACCATTGCAAGATGAACGTATTTGAAGCTATTAAGTGGCAGCAGCTACACATAAGCTGGTCTCTATTTTCCAGACTCTACCCAGTCAGTTTGGGGCTATATGGCTGAGTTCTCCCTGCTATGGTTCCCTTGGAGGCAGTGTGTTCCCAATGGCATGACTAACAAGAAGGGCAGAAGACTACAAGCCCTCTGAACTACGTAGGAGTGAGCAGGTCACTTGATGGAGACTTTCAATCTTGGGTGGTGTGGTCAGGAGGGTTCAGCACCCTAAGATGAAAGTGCTTGCCCTATTTAAACAGCTACCTGGATGAAAGTGCTTGCCCTATTTAAACAGCTACCTGGATTGCCCACAGTAGATTCTTGAAGATGTATGGCAAGTATGGCACTTTCTGTCTGTTACCATTAGATTAGAGAAGTGTCCTAGCATCCTGTAGACTCTTCTAGCTTTGTCCATGTCTCAGAGGTGCCATAGTTCTGGACGTGGTGCCAACTTGGAGGTGAGGTGGAGGGGAGAGAATTCACTCTAGAACATTTTGCATACTGCAGAGCCATAGCACCATTCCCTCCTATGGCTTTCTGTTTCTGACCAAGGTAACTTCAAACCCAATGGAAAAAACCAAAAGCAAAAACACGAGGAAAGTGGGCTCCCCCATGCTACCTGCCTTTTCCAGTTCTAGTCCCCTTCATTGACCTCAGACCAGCTGCGTTGCTTAAATACCTCTCTCTTTTCTTTCTGTCCCCTATTATTCTGTTTCATTACTTGTCTTCCTTAATTTCTGTCTTGCTAATTCCTACACCTCCCTGACACCCCCAATCAAGCAGAAACATTGTTTCTTCTTCTGAACACCTTCTTCAGTGTCTCTCTTCAGGTATTTCCACAGCACCTTCGAGTGTGGACCATAGTTACGAGATCGTCTCTCCCTTGCAGGCTACAGGCATTCAGAGAAGAGAGGAAATACAACAACCTGGCTTACTGTTGAATTTTCTACAGCACAGAGCAGAGCTCCTGATATATGGAACAAATGAGTGAATAAATGAAAATCTCCTTTGCAAAGCTATGAATTCTCCCAGTTAAAGATTTATAAAACAGTCTCTGTAGACATAAGAGGCGGCTTAAAAAAGAAGTATGTAAAGTATTAGAGCTCTGAATGTGCTGAAACCATGTTATTTATTCATAGTACCAGAATGCTGAAAGGATTTTTTTCTTATTACCTTCTGATTTTGGGTTGCCTATTTTTATTTTAATCAGAGATCCAGGAACAATAGTTTTTTTTTTAATGGGAGTGTAATAAAGAATGGAGTCTGGGAGGAACACACAAGGATTGTTTTAGTCTAAAGCAATTACCATGAGGACAAACAACTTTCTTGTTAATAGAGAAATAAATATACAAATAGCAGCAGAATTCTGATATCCCAGCAGTAAAAAGTGCGTAAATGTAGGGCAGTAGTGATGCTATGTATTGTTGGCTGTGGGACAAAGTTTATTTACAAGCTAATTATTGTCTAAGAAGTCAGCTTTATTTAGCAATCTGAGAGCTTAGGATGGTAGATTCAGAAAGAAAATATATTGGTATGTATACTAAAAAATTCAGTGAATACAAATAATGGTTTGAGAGAATTGAAAAAAAACCCAGCTTAGAAAAAAAACCAGTTTATTAAGTAATATCATATAAATAACTTGTTACAAAAATTGATTTGCAAAAGGCATATTTACTCTTTGTGAGAAATCACTTTTTAAATTGTATTCTTTTCAAATTTATAAGTCTAAGAAAACAAAACAAAAGAAGCCATTTCAAGGAGTGCATATTTGCCATTTGACTACAACACAAGGCCCAGCCACACTGAGCTAAAAGGTAATTGTTCCAATCCTACTCTTTTAATACAGAAAACTTTCACATGTAAATGGTAAAGTTATGAAAATCTCCCTCACCTGCCAGGTGGATGGAAGCTAAGCAGGAATTGCATTCTTCAGGTTTTCTTGTTGCCAAAGACATGAATGATTTCCCAGAAAAATGTGAACGGAGCATTCCAGCCAAACAACTCACCAAGGGTGGCATCCGTTTCAATTTATACATGGAAGTTTTTTTTTTTTTTTTTTTAAGAAATACAATCAATACCAAAAAGCTTTTATTTTCTTGGTTTAAAATCACAAATCACAGTAGGAGAATGCCAAATTGCCTTAGCCTGGTATTACTGACGATGTACATAGTAGCATTTATTAGAAGGCCTATTCTGCTGTAGTTCACGTTCAAAGCAGTGAAAAGACTCACAAACACAGTACAGTGGGTTTGAAGTGTTCTTGTGTTTCTTCTGAGCAGACCCATTATACATTGGCTACATAGCATTCCCTGTGAATGCTTAGTAATTCTATACATTTGATTCTTTAATAAAGACTAAACTAATAGATCATAGAAAACTAAAAGCTTATAGAAGGTGCCTCCAGATATATTTACATAAATAGCATAGTCTCACAAGAAAGACCAGGATCTCATTATAGTGGAGTGCTTTTTCTACAACACTAGGTCCATGCCTCATTTGTCAAATTAACCCCATTCGAGGAAAAATTTGAGTTTGTAGTCCATGGCTTTTTTTTTTTTTAAGGAATTAAGCAACTTGTAAAAGCTCTTTTGAAATTAATCTAATCACCCAGTGGCTCTTCGGCATAGTGCCTCTGTCCTGTTTGAAATATAGTGGGTAATAGCTTTTGTTTCCATTTGACCTCCTTGTAACACTTTCATCTGCTGGCTCTCCAGGGCTAACGTTCCCCCCAGATTAAAAAATGAAAATGCATCATAAATAAGGTATTACAAAATGAGGACTAGATTAAAGATTGTCTCAGCAATGCTTAAATTAAATCAATGATGCAGAGACCATAAACTTCTGGCTCTAAAAATGAGCTATTTCTTTATTAACTTCTATCTAACAAACGTGTGAGTCAGTAAGTATATCTGCTACCTAAGAGAGTATCATTCTCTACAGTGAATATGGTCGGGGTCTGGTGTTTTCAGTTTAGAATTATCCCTTTCAAAAAATGATTTCATAAAGATGCCAAAGGGAGATTAAATATGCAACAACCAGAATAGTCTACACTTTGAGGAGCCCATAGTGTAATTTTGTATTTTTGTATTAGGAACATAGTTCATCTTCCCCAAGATTCACATACCAAATGTTAATCTTTCTACTCTTCTCATTTGATAAAGAAGGTTGGGTTGTGGTGTAAATTTAAATGCAGCAGACCGCTTAGATTTTTGAGTCTCCTGCCACAGTGTCACAATTCAAGAAAGCAAAAAAGATTTCCTCAGATAAAACACAAAAATTAAAAGCACACTAAAACAATCTTTCTAAGAAGATACCTTTCAAAATAGTGGAGATCTTGACTCTTTAGTTGTCCTAAAGTAATTACATGTCTTCAAAAACTACTGACCCAGGAAAGGGAAATAATTGGTGGTTTGTTCTTGAGGAAAAAGGATTAGCTGATAAGAGTTAGTACCTCATTTAAATATTTAGTTTGCACCTGGAATCAACTCAGTTCTTTCCTTTCAACTGTGTAATTGTTTATGGTGTTCAAGTGTACAGAATCTTAAGACTGCCCAACTGGTAGTTTATATATCAATTGCTAGCTTATATATCATTATCCCCAAGGATATATCCATTTCAGGACAAAGCATAATATAAGATATTGTTCACCAATTCAGGGCACCTCAAATTTCTGTGCTCAGAAGTAAAGTAACAGAAGCATTACAAAGTTATTTCAGATCTACAAAATTTGGATGCTTCTAAGATGTAGACCCAACTTTTAAGAACTTCTCATACAACTTTTTAGGAACTGAAAATGAAAACTAAGCCACATATTTTTATACTGAGTTAAAATGGAATCACCAGCTTTGCTCTACATGAAAATGGATTAATTTATTTTTTTTATAGTTAACCTTCCTTTATGAATCCAAATTGAAAAACCAGGAAAGTTCTGAGAGAACTACATATTTACTGTGCCCAGATTCCCTCTCCTACAGTTTTGTGAAACCACCTTTGCTTCTTTACCATTTGATTTATTATTTACTTATTTGTGGACATTTGTTTCCAGACTTTTAAAACAGAAAATGGGGATGGAGTGAAAGTGTTTTAAATGTTTAGGCAAAAGCTTCTTCCCCCTCCAATTTTGACCTAATTCTAGAGGATATCTTCCTACTGGTTTAAAGAAAAGTTTTCCCTTGAAGAGAAGACCAAATAAGAAAAAAAAAAAGGGAAGTCAGAAAAATTTCAATGTCTTTGAAGCATTCCTTATAAAAAAGCCATTTGCTTAGTTTAATGAATTTTAATGTCTTAGTGGCAAGAGCAAATATTAACATTTTGCTTCTTCCTACTCTTCTCCCATCTCTCTTATCACCAAGGTCTGAAACCAAGACTCAAACCATGTGAAAACTGAGATGAAAAATTCTGTTTTCCTGGAGAAATTTTACATGGTGATCTAGGACCTAGCACTTAAAATCTAGCCACGGAGTTAGTGTTTGATTTGATATATCATTCCTGGAAGGGAAGGGGGAATGTACAGAAGGATGGAATTGTGGCAATTATTTGCACAATGTCAAGAAATTGTCTAGAAAAATGTCTGTCTAACATGGTACAGGATCACAGCACCAGCCTTGAATGATCCAGTTTCCTATAAATGTGCTTCATCATCAAGAATGCAAGGTGGTAAGATCTTAGTTATTTCCATATGTGTTCAACTTGTTCTTAGTACCATGTGTGTTCAGTCTGGAATAAAATACTGTCAATTATCTCTTAGATACTGCAGTGTAGAACTTCACTAAGTATACTTTTGCTAAAAAGGAGGAAGCCAAGTTGACTGTGACATATTGAAAATTGCTAGTGTTGACCCTCAGAAATGTCCATTAATCCTAGGAGCTCAAAAGGCTAATATTTGATGATCCCTTTCTTCTCATAGGGCTATGTTTCTTGTTTAATGTGCTGTGTGATATGAGACAGATAATTTTTTTGCATGTGTATGTGTGCCAGTCCTGGCGCTTGAACTCAGGGCCTGGGCTTTTGCCCCTGAGCTCAAGACTAACATTCCTCCAGTTGAGCTATAGCTGCATTTCTGGCTCTTTTCTGTTGTTTGTTTTTTGTAGTTAAATGGGGATAATAGTCTCATGGACTTTCTTTCCCAGGCTGGCTTTCAATGATCATCCTCAGATCTCAACCTCTTGAGTACCTAAGAGTACAGGTGTGAGCCACCAACACCTGGCTTGAGACAGAGGATTTTATGTAAAGGATTTTTACAGTAAATCCCATGATTAAGGTGTTATTCTATTCCAAAAATATCTATTTCTGATTAATTTTACTAAGATCTTTTTTTCAAGACTTACCTGTGTCTATAACACATGCTAACTTATTGAAATGATATACTCTTACAGTATTTTATTTGCAGTTCTGTGTGTGTGTGTGTGCGCAGTGTGTGTAACTAAAAAAGAAATCCCTAAAAGCCAGAAATAGCCCACATATGAAACAGTTGCTAATATACAAGGCAGTCTATTACAAACTAGGAAACCATTCAGGACATACAAGGGATAATATGGTTGTAAAAGAATTTTACTCTAAAGAAAACCCCACATTGCTCTTACTTTTAGAGGTACCACTTTTCTGTGTAATATATCCATTTAAAATGTAACTAAACAACAGAAAATATGTACTGGCCTGACATTATCCCCAAATGGATCATGAAACTAAGATTATCTGTAGAAAGTTAACATTAACTGGAAAGGAATCCCTAAAACTGACAAATTAAGTCATAATATTCTTACGTATATGGTGTATATATATGTGTATATATGCATATATATATACAGACACACATATATATCATATACACAGGGCCTATTTTTTAAGTTTTCAAGCAAGGATGTTTTCAATATAGTACTTTGGAAATTTCTGATGACTGCACAATGTGAGATTCTAATGATAAAAGTCATTAGAAGAGCCACATGAAATAAATGATTTGAACTTGCCAGAAGGATTAGTTCAGTTCAGTGGGTCTCTGGATAATAAAGGACTATGATGTTAATTGCATAATTAGAGAAATTATAGACTGGATGGATTTTACATTCCTTTTTCTGTCATTTTTTGGAGACCATTACTTTATCATTAGTTCAAAGACCAGGATGGCAGGGTTGCCATGGATGCAAAATTAAAATCAACGGACAAAGTATTAACACCTTTGAAAGGTGATTGTTATTTCAACCTTCTTGTTGAAGGGAATCCAAGCTTTTCCTCTGGAAACATATTCCAATCATGAAATATGTCAGTTTTTACCCAAACTCCAAAAATTTCATGTGTCTCCATCATGTTTTGTGAGAGTACAGATGTGTCCAGATGTGAAGCGAGGGCACTCTGTTCAAAGACGCTGTCATTGCCTCTGCTTTGAACCAGATAGAGTGAGATTTTAGTTGCTCTTTACTAAGTCAAAGTCACTTGGGCAAGCAATATTTGGAGAAGATGAATTATTGAATTGCACATGGCTACTTTCAGGCCCAGAGGAACAATAACAACTACTACGCACCAGGAGTTCATCCTTGTCTCATACAAAATTCTTTCAAGAACTTGGAGGTAATTTACCTCATTTGTCATTAGCCTACTGATGGTTGAAAGAATTTCCAGTGCTCTGTGATATGTTTGGTGTCCAAGACTTTCAAATATGCTAAGTATTTCCTTGGTTGACTTTTTAAAAGTTATTTCCTCTTTCCCCTACTTTTTTTTCTGGAACCATGGCAAACTTATGCATGTCCAATACGTAATAAATTGTGAGTTAGTGGTAAAGAATGCAGCCTTAGGTTTTTTTTTTTTATTATTATTTTCTTTGAGTTTTGGCATCTAATTAACTCATATTCTTTCAGAGGAATGAAAATCTTTAAAAACATGGGTGGATTTGATGTTTTGAATATAGTGAGTGTCAAAAAAGAAGTTCTTAAGCCAAAAACACAACAGGTTGAATGTCATTTTAGATTCCTGGTGACAGAAATACACACTCTTCCATACCTTATGTATTGATGATCTCCTTGTGAGCCGATACACCAGGGACCACTTCCCTGTCGTTCCTTCCTTCCTTTTCTATTTTTCTTTTAAACTAAAACTATAGATATAGATATATAGTTGACCATTAAAGCACGATTCCTTAACCCATTAGCATGTGAAATGTACAGTTAGAACAGTCAGCGGACCCGAGGCCAAGGAGTCTTCGCAGAACTGCCTGGCCGGCAAGAGAGCGAGTCAGGAGCGAGTTCCACACCTGCTCCTGAGAGGAAAAAGGGAAAGACGCAGCGCTCCGCCGTCTGCTCCTCCGCCCCGCGCCCTTGGGCTGACTCCGGGTGAACTGGATGCACTACAAAATAAAAACGATTTGCCTCTTGGAAGCTCATAAAAGTGTACTAGAAAAAAAGTCTCTACCGTTGGATCCGCACGGACTTGCGGCCAGTGGCTTTTGGAACGTGTAGAACAGAGAACCCAGCACGGAGTAGTGGATAAATAGAAAGGAAGTCACTTCACATGGTTCAGTGTCCTATTGCGGGTGGGGGGGGAGGGGATGGGAAGAGGAGGAGGAGGAGAGGGAGGAGGGGGGGAGGAGGAGGAGGGGGAGGAGGGAGGGAGGGGAGGAAGAGGAGGGAGGAGGGAGGAGGGAGGAGGGAGGAGGGAGGAGGGAGGAGGAAGAGGAGGAGGGGGAGGGGAGGAGGGGGAGGAGGAGGAGGGGGAGGAGGAGGAGGGGGAGGAGGGAGGGAGGGGAGGAAGAGGAGGGAGGAGAGAGGAGGGAGGAGAGAGGAGGGAGGAGGGAGGAGGGAGGAGGGAGGAGGAAGAGGAGGAGGGGGAGGGGGAGGAGGGGGAGGAGGAGGAAGAGGAGGAGGAGGAGGGGGAGGAGGAAGGAAGAGGAGGGGGAGGAGGAGGAAGAAGAGGAGGAGGAGGAGGAGAGAGGGAGGAGGAGGGGGAGGAGGAAGGAAGAGGAGGGGGAGGAGGAGGAAGAAGAGGAGGAGGAGGAGGAGGGAGGGGAGGAGGAGGAGAGAGGGAGGAGGAAGAGGAGGAGGGAGGGGAGGAGAAGGAAGAGGAGGAGGAGGAGGAGGAGGAGGAGGAAGGAGGAAGAAAAAGGCATCAGATTAGGAGTCCTTGTCACTGTCCAGCCCTCCGTACATATCCGCCAGCTTCTTGAATCGGGGGCCCCAGTCACTAAGGTAGTCGTAGTCCTGGTCTCCGTCGGTGGTGACCGACTCCAGCGAGCTGAGCGAGTCGGCCACCGAGCCCGCGCCCTCGTAGGCGTAGGTGGCCAGGGAGTCGTAGGGCGGCGCGGTGGGGTCCGCGTCGTTCTCCTTTAGCCTTTGGTTGATGAAGTCCCTGACGTCGGTGTTGTCCCGGGCGGTGGGAGTCCGCCGGGGCAGGAAGAGCGCCTCGGGCACAATGTCCCGCCGCAGCTTGCTGTCCTCCATGGCCGCGGGGTTGCGCAGGGTGCCGATGTCGAAGGCCTGCGTGTCCTCCTCGCCGCCGCCCTCGTCGTTGTAGCTCACGATGTTGTCTCGGATGTCCTCCTTGGAGATGATCAGAGGCTCCTTCTTGCGCTGCCGCCTCAGGGCTGCGAACAGCACCACTGTCACTGCGAGCAGAAAAGCAGAACACAAGGGAAGAAGGCCCGGGTGAGTCGCGGGCCAGGGAGGCTCAGGGCAGCCCTGGCCCGCAGACCCGCGGCTGGGCTGGCGTCCGCGCGCGCGGCCTCCATCCCGCCTCGGAGCGCAGCCCCAACTTAGTCACCAACTAAGATGGGGATAAAACATCAGCAGAGGTTGGCAGGGTTTCTGTTTTGTTTTTGGAGGAGCTTTGCAATGCAAACTACGTTCAAGGTAAAGAAAAGCCAAATCATGGTAATAACGGAAAAGCTCAGCCATGCTGAAAGAATTGCAGAGTGCAAATTAGGCCGGCACCTAAGATATTCAGAAAGTGGTTGTAAGGACAGACTGGCACCTCTGGGGATGTGTAGAAGGGTTAACACAACTCCATATCGAAAATAGCTTTTGCACTATCTCGTTCTCTCCACACCCCCCCCCCCCCCCCCCCCCCCGCCTCCAGAATGGTGTAAAATTAGCTTAAAACCCAAAGTAGAGATGTGAAGGTTTGCATATCTTTCTCATATTCAAAGAAATTTTATTACCAATAATACCTGAAGACATCCAGATTGTGAAAGGTATTCTGGACTTCAAGATTAGCCAATTTAAGCCAGCCAGATAGTAATACACCATCCATTTTATTTATGTTTGAGTGAAATAAGCACACTCAAGTAAGGATTCTTTGATTATTTTGAAAGTTCTTGTTCCATATGTTTGTTACCCAGAATGTTAGTTCTTTTTATTTTTTTTTCCTTTCCCTCGAACACAAATTAGAGACAAGGCAAGAACTATTTTTAAATATCTCCTGATCTTACTTCACAGCTGGTTGGGTAGAACAAAGCTGGCTACCCATAGAGAGACACGTCAATCTACAAATGGACCTATGGGTGGGACATAAAAATATAGCCACGGTTTCCAGAGAAAACAGCCATCCAGGGCCGAAAATGCATTACTAGTCTAGGTTTGTCCAGGGGAGTACATTACAGGAAGTACTGTAAAGGGCTACAATTTCACCTGTAACATGGCCCAGTTTTTGTATGCCATGGAAATTGAATTTTTTACAATTTAAGAGTAACAGAGTGATGGCTTTTTAGTGGCTAAATGCTTCCAACTATGCAACAATGTATGTCTATGTACTCTTTAATGTACATACCGTAATTTCAGATATTGATAATACTAATAACAATTAACTGAAAGCTTTCTGTTCTAAGTACTGTGCTTTTTTTTTTTTTACATACTGAATCCCCCTGAATTATCATGATAGCCCTGTAAGATCCAATCATTATAAGCTCATTTTTTATCTAGGAGAATTTTGAGGCTTAGAGATGCCACATGAGATAAAGCCATTCAAATCCAGATTTGTCAAACTAAAATGCCTGTACTCTTTTTTCCTTTCTTTTTCTTTCTTTGTGGTAGTAGGGTTTGAACTCAGGGTCTTGTACTTGCTAGGCAGGAGCTCTATTGCTGAGCCCTGCAACTGGCTCTCTTCTGATAGGTTTCTGTTTTAGAGTCTCACTTTATGTGTGTGTGTATGTGTGTGTGTGTGTGTGTGTGTGTGTGTGTGTGTGTGTGTGGTAAGCCACAGTGCCACTTCTGGTTTTCTGGTGGTTAATTGAAAAGTCTCACAAGGACTTTTCTGCTTGGGCTGGCTTTGAAGCAGGATCCTCAGATCTCAGCCTGCTGAGTAGCTAGGATTACAGGCATGAGGCACTGGCGCCTGGCTTTTCACATTCTACCTGAATGAAAACCTAAGCTACAATCTAATCGGTCACAGGCATGAAAACAGGTAATAACACCACATCAAAGCTGTTCTTGTTGAGATGGAACTTCAACATTTTTTTCTGCTAGAGCTGGCCTGGAACTGTAATCCTCCCAATCTCAGACCCTTATGTAGCCACGATGAGAGGTGAGTGTTGTGGACATCTGGCTGAAGCCCATACTCTAAACTGCTTTGCTTGAACCATATTTTGACGATTGTCTACTTTCTAAAGAAATCTTATTTTACCATTTTCAAGCATGTGGTTGTGTAGTTACACAATCATGTGGTGCTGAGGAGATGTCCATGACCAAGCCATCTTTTATATTGGTCTCCAGTGTGACCAAAAGCATGGACTGAAAAATATAGGGTTGTAAGTACAGTCAGCCCTTGGAATTAGAGAATAGAATCAGTCCAACTGTCTTCCAAAGAATCCAGCTCTGATATGCATGATTTCTTTTAGTGACTTAAGCAAAACATCAGGTCTTTATCATTTCCTAATTCTTCTCCAGCTTAAACTCCTTACATGTTTTATATCCTTACATTTTTGGATATTCTATGCACATCCCAAGGGTAACTATTTAGAAGAGAGGGGGCACATTAGAAAATGAAAAGGTATTCATAGCTTCATTCCATAGCTAAAACTATCGATGCCTTTTCTTAATAGCCCAAAACAAATCTTGAGTTTTAGGTGTCTAGAAGAGAGATCTTTCTGAAAGTTGTGTTTAACAAATGCAATGTGAATTCTAGACTTGTAGGGTTAAAAACAATCTGAAGATGTAATCCTCCTATGAGGTGTCCTTATCAGGAGCTAGGGCTGTTTTTCTCTACTCTTGGGGGAGGACAAGAACTAAGATTTTTAAAATTTTTTGGTTGAGGAGACTTGGGGGAATTTGTGCTCGAATTTGATCCTATCTAGGTTAATTTAAATGGTCTGACCTTTTAAAGTCTGTTTCCTTATCTGTAAAGGAACACTAACACAATACCCAGTGTTGTCAAGAGAAATAAGTTAATAAAAGTTTTGCCCACTCTAATGTGCCATTAAGACATAGCTGTTGTTTGGATGTTTTATTATTATTTTTTTGTCAGTCATGGGGCTTGAACTCAGGGCCTGAGTGCTGTCCCTGAGCTTTTTGGCTCAAGACTAGCTCTTTACCACGTTGAGCCACAGTGCCACTTCTGATTTTTCTGGTGGTTAACTGGAGATAGGAATCTCATGGGCTTTCCTGTTTGGGCTGGCTTCAAATTGTGATGCTCAGATCTCAGTCTCCTGAGTAACTAGGATTACAGATGTGAGCACCCAGATCTATTGTTTATTTTTGTAAAATCCTAGATGCATACGATCTACTCTCTCTCTCTCTCTCTCTCTCTCTCTCTCTCTCTCTCTGTTCAATTCTCCTGGGAATTGAATGAAGGGCCTGGTGGATATTAAACTTGTGTTTTACCACATAGCTTAATCCTCAGCCCTCATCTACTTTCTTGTGTTCGATTTCTTCATAACAAAGTCTCGTTCCTTCTTTGATGTTTCTCTTTTTCATGTTTGCTTTCACTTGTTCAATTGTTCCACTTTAAGACTGGGTTGTCTTTCAGTCAGGAAACTGTTGTGTATTCTGTAAGATCACAGAGAAAGGAGAGAGAGAGAGAGAGAGAAAGAGAGAGAGAGAGAGAGAGAGAGAGAGAGAGAGAGAGAGAGAGAGAGAGAGAAAGAGAGAGAGAGAGAGCGCTCCAGGCTCAACAGAAGAGACTGGTTTCAGAGCTCAGATCATGTGACTTGGACATGGAGTCCCAGGATTCATATTCAAGATTCAGATAAATATACTCAAGGTGACTAAGGAGTGAGGAAAGCATTGGTAAAGGACTTGTCAGAGCACCAGTTGATGGTGAGAGCCTAGTTAATTTTCTTTTCTTTCTTTTTCACTATGTACAGAACTGCTAAGAGACTAGACCAGATATGGGGGCCCTGATGTCCAATTAGGAATAATAGAGAGAGAGTGAATTCATTGGGGAAAGGAAACGAAAAGGGGAAGATGAGCTCAGAGGAAGAAAGTAGAGCAGAGAAAATGTATGTATGTATGAGGAAAGGGAGGAAGAATCAACTCTCACAGATAAGAGCTGGCTGAACTCCACAGACCACAAGAGGAGTCTGTGCCCTACTACTTGAGTTGGGTCCTGCCAGTCCAGACTTCTGAAAATACCCCTTTGAGCAAAAAGAATATTCATGTCCCTTTTCCAAAAGCAATTTTTATAGACACACACCATTAAAACACTCATTTGCCTTTGCACACTGTCAGTTTTTATTCATCTCCCTATCTTAAAATACTTTGTCCAAATCTCAGTTGACAAAGAGAATCGCAGTACTGAAGTTGTGTTTGCAGGCTTCTGTTATAATTAGCAGTTGGCTTGGCATGGGAAGCTCTTGGGCAGGAATCCCTCAGTGGTCTTTTCTTGGAGAAATGTAGATCCTCTTCTACCCTTCTCCAAGTTACTCTGTCTTTTAGAGTTTTGTTTTGATCTGTTCTGTGTAATGTAGGTTAACTCTTAACTTCTTACTTTATTTATTTTTCATTGCATAGGCAAGTTTTATAAATCTCGCTTTTGTTTTCAGAAGGATTATATTAACTAATTGAATTCCTTAGTTCACAAAGAGTCCAGGGCCTGTTGAACTATTCGAGAGTTCAATTTCTGGCTTAATCAGTTGGGCAGAAGTAAGCATTCCACTTGAATCATTATTAGACCTTGTATATCTGTCAGTTTCCATTGCTATGGGAAAATACTTGAGATAAACAACTTAAAGAGGGAGAGAGATCTTTTGGCTCATGGTATCATACTGCTTTTATGACAGTGGTGAGGTGGGACATCATGGAGGCAGGGGTATGTTGTAGAACAAAACAGCTCACTTCATGATGGGCAGGTGGCAGACTAAGAGGAAGGGTCCAGAGATGAGATGCATCCTCCAGAGGCACCTTTCACTTCCTCCAACTGAGCTTGACCTAAAGTTAATGTCCTTATGATCCTAGCATCCTTCTCCTGGTCCCTATACAGGGACCAAGCTTTACACACATGAGACTTATAGGAGACACTTCATATCCAAACCATAACAGATTTTGGCTTTCATTTTTATTCCATTCATTTACTGCCAGTCCCACATTTCTGTTTCCTAATCACAGAAGTGACTTCTTTTTTAATTGACACTCGGTGTCAATTAGGAGAGCAATGCTAAGCAGGGACTCATGTAAGTGGCTAGGTCCAAACAAGTTCGATGGGTTACAGAAGATTTCATGCATTTATTTTTCCCATACGAGAGAGAAAAAGTCATCATAGTTCTCTTCCACTTTCCCATTGATCTTAAACTTTACCTTTGTAGAAAGGACCTTCATCATATACTCCATACCAGATGACTTTCACTCTTTAAAATTTAACAATATTTGCCAAGTTAAATATTAAACAAAAAAAGAAATGAAAAGGGCATACTTATTTTGCCCTCAAATCCCTCTGAGATTCATTTCCCCTGTGATGGACAAGATACTCTTTTGGTGGGATGATCTGCGGGGGTAAGCATAGACATGGGTACATTTCACACCTGTTCACACTCCAAAGCCATTTCCAAGTTAAAAAAAAGAAGAGTTCATGTTTGAGTAACACAGATTCCCAGCATATAACTCTACTCACCTAGATCATGCTGTATGCCTTAATGGGGGAGGCGGAAAAATCTAGAGTGTCACAGAAACAGGGTGTGCCCCTCAGCAAGGGGAGATAGGATGCAGGGAGAAGCAGTTTACCTAGTAGGATCACGATGCACAGAAGGATGGCCACCAGAGCCCCTGTGCTCAGGCCCGTGGGGTGGATGAGGGCCTCGGCGTGGCAGGACTGCATGTTGCCAAGGCGGTCACATGCACACACCCGGACAGTCACTGTCCCTGTGCTGCTTTGCACTGGGTAGTCGTTATCTGAAATGACCACAGGCAGGAGGTAGGTGCTCATCTCATGTCTATTATAGCCATTCCTCCGAGTTAAGATTCCCGCGGTGTTGTCTGGAACCAGAAAGCAAAGTGGTAAATGTGTGTGTGGACAGATAGGAATAGAGATGTCCAGACCCAGAGACAGATAGACATTTGGCTCCCGATAGAGAGAGTGACGCAACAGGCAACCTGAGATCATTTACCTTTGTTGTCTTGAATGGTGAAGTTGGAGCCAATGGCTGCTTCGGGGGCCAAAGAGAATGAGAACTGGTGTCCACTGTGAGGGTCGTCCTTATCAACGGCACGCAGGGTCTGAATCAACTGAAATTAACAAAAATCAAGTTGTCAGAAAGTTTTGATAATCCAAAAGTGCTTCCTAGTGTTTTGAAGTAATTTGCCCTGTGAGTTTAATCTTAATAAGAAAACAATTATAGCCTTTGAAATATATTAGGTTAAAATAATTACATTCTGTTTGAAGAGCCAGTGGGTTAGAGAGTCATGGAGTAAGGGATCATTCTTTGTTTGGGGGCTGCCCTGTGTAGAATAGGGTGCTGCGTAGCAACCCTAGCCTGTTCCCTCTAGATGCAAGAGCAGTCCCTGAAATTGTGACAATCAAAAATAGACATTGTCTCAGGGACAAAATCACCTGGACTAAACAACACTGACCTAGAGTAATGCAGGGCTGTAAAATGCCACAACTATCTTGGGCAGTACCGCAACCTAGCAAAATGGAAACACTCCAAACCATAACAAATGCATGTAAAAATATAACCCTGTGTGGGCTGGGAAGGTGGCTCAGTGGTAGAGCGCTTGCCTTGCATGCCTGAGGCCCTGGGTTTGATTCCTCAGCACCACATAAGCAAAAAGAAAAAAAAGCCGGAAGTGGCACTGTGGCTCAAGTGGTAGAGCGCTAGCCTTGAGCTGAAGAGCTGAGGGACAGCGCCCAGGCCCAGAGTTCAGGCCCCACCACCGGACCCCCCCCCCAAAAAAAATATATATATATATAAAACCCTGTGTGTACATGTGCCACCAGTTTACAAAATGATACAAAGAAAATTAGTGCATAAAACAAGTAACTTTAGCTTTCTACTTTCCCATGTACTTTAATAACATAGTTCTATTTTGACAAAGTGTAGCATAATTTTTATATTGTTGGTGGCAGAGACCCATTTCAGGTGGTGACAAATGGGGAAAACAGTAAAAACCTCCATGAATTTGTATGACTGGTACAGATGGGCAATGTAAATCAAAAGAGCTTTGCATTACAGACAATTGTAAAATATGTTCTAGTTATTATTTTCAAGTACATATGGTAATCAAACTATCTGTTCACCAATAAAGATTTTTTTCCAGTAAGACAGTGACTAACCTATTTTAATAAAAGCTTAAGACTGATATGGAATCAGCATCAGTCATGGAGACTGATAACTTGCAGTTCTTAAAAACTGTTTGCTCTGTTATGCAAGTTAAATATTTGTCCTAGGTTTTATTTCAGGTATTAATCTCCTCGGCATTTGCTTCATAGATAATTTACAACTAGCCCTCAGCTTTGAGTATCATCTGAATTACCAGGTCTGAATTAATCTGACTTTCCATCTGAATACACTTGTGAGACTCACCTGATCTGCCTTTGCTTTTTCACAGACAAAGGTTTCATAGAACTCAGCAAATTCTGGGGCATTGTCATTGACATCTAGAACTTTAATATATAGAGGTACTCGGCTGCTTTGTTTTGGATTATCTGTCACATACCAAAAAGAAAAAAAAAGACATTTCATGTTTAAGACCAATCCAATTTAGACACCATTCACTCATTCTTTCATTCTTCTTATCCAAGATTCTCCCAGGACATTGAATACCAACTTGGTCACAAGAAAGAACTGGATAGTTAGGTACTTTTGGATTTGGATACATTTGATAGAAATACCTGATTATGTGGACATGACATACCTGCAGAATACACCTGAAGGTCATACAAAATAAAAAGGGCACTTTAGATTAGATTTTAAGGGAAGTGAAGGACACAGTCAAAAGGAGAAACTCAAGAGACCAAAAAAACCCCAAGAGAAATGAATGAGCTACCAGGAGACCAAATGATTGTTTTCAATATTAGTGTTTTTAATCTGAGAGCCAAAAAAGAGCTGGGAATCATGCTAAGTACTTTGTTATATTAGTTTATTCATTCCTACAAATATCTGAGGAAGTTATAGTTATTGCTCCTACATTATGGATGAGGAAATTGAGGCACAAGGAAGTTTAGTAATTTATCTATGTTCACAAACATAGTACAGAGTTGTCTGGGTTCAAATTTAGGCTTGTGACTACAAGGCCCAGCCTGTTCATTTAGGATAATGACAGAACACAGCCAGTTGTTTTCTTTTTATAGCCAGTGTTTTAAGACCTGAGAAATAAAGTATGATTTTTAAAAATTGTCTTCTGTGGTAATCTCCTGGGTAGTGGAAGAATCAGAAGAATTAGGAGTTTGAATCTCTTGTTTTGGATCTCTTCCTCTATGTATATATCATACTTTCCTATTTTAAGTACTTAGGGACCATCTAATACTTAATATGGGCTGGACATTACTTGGGAGTACTGGAACGTGGAAGGGACATAAATCTTACATAAATCTTGCTTCCTGCAGAGTTCTAATATCAGAAAGGATAAATTGTACAATAAGCTTGTCTTACTTGTGAATTTTTTTTTATTGTGAGAATACCATACAGAGGGGTTACAGTTACATGGGCAAAATAACGAGTACATTTCTTATTAAGCATTGTTGCCTCCTCTTTGTTTCCCCTTCCCATCCCTTCCCATACTCCCCCCTCTCTCCACCTAGCCCTCCCCCCACCCCCCACCAAAGTTGTAAAGTTTGTTTTTTCGACATAACGACTTGTACATCTCATTGTTGTAATGGCTCCACCTGCATCCCTAGTTAAACGATTTGTGTGAATTTATAATATGAATTTTGATCAAGCATGGGAAAACTAGTAAATTTAACAAAAAGAAGAAATTAAAAAAAAAAAAACCATTTAACCCTTCTACATACCATGGCTCAGCAGTATGGAGAAGCTGACTTGGGCCCGTGTGACTCTCGGTTAAGTCCAAATGGTTGTGTGTTCTGCTGAGTGCCTCCCTGATGGTCATTTTATTTGAAACATTCTGCTTTCTAGAAAACTAAGGGTGCCCTCAAAACCAGGTAAAAATTAATGGGTTTAATTTAAGTGATAAAGTGAAAATTTTAGGTTTGTTGAAAGGCTACACGTTCTTCTGTTCTCAGTGGAAGCTGGACGTATTTTTGTGGGGGCAAAATGAATCAAGCATCAACATACAGCACTGAATTCTGAGCACTGAACTCATCTTGAGCTTTAGGAGTTTTATTTATTGGTGATCTCCTCGGACATATATCGATGGATACTAACGGTCGACTATGTGTACATAAATGTACAGTGCACCAGATGGTAACTGCTATGGAGGAATTAAAGAAAAGGGACGGAGATAGCTAGAGATGCTATTCTGAATGCATTGACCAGCAATGGCTTCTCTGGGACACTGCTTGCCTAGAGACACAACTAAAGATTAAGTCATGTGACTCTTTCTGGTTTGCCATATGGAGGAAACAGCAGGTGGAATGGTCTTGGACGGGGGATAGAGTTGGTTTTCTATAAGCTTTTAGTTTCTGACATATCAAAGGTAGTGAACAAGTTTTGACAATGTAATTCTTAAGATTTCTTGCTCACACAATCTTTCCAGAGTTAGAGTGGCTGAATATGAATTCTCACAGATCTTAATTGCCAATAATTTCTACTGTGTTATAGAAACGTGAAATCTTAAAAACAAATTTTTAGGCATAAATCTTAAAATGCTTAGGAAATGACTACTGTAGTAAAGAGTAAAATCACGATGTTTTGAAAAATGGTTCTTTTCAGTGGAAAATAATTTTGTAATTTTCAGGTTTAAAGAGCTCACTGTTACAGGCAGAACACCAGTTTTAGTTATTTATTATTCCACCCGATATCCTTCAGCTATTTCAAACCTCATGAGTTATGTTGACAAAATACAACTGTAATAAACCACTTCATATGGAATATTTCACACTAGATACCCAACTGAGATTAAAACATGTTTAGAACTTTAAAAATTAAAAACAAAAACTAAAAGAACTATAATTTAGAAGCCTATTTTTAAACACTAAAACACTATTTTCAATATCATTTTTCTTCCCTGAACTCCACTGTACACATTAGATTTACAATTCACATTAGTTTTCAGTGCATAAAATCATTTTATTTAAAGCATTCTTTTGGCACTACCTATTTTTGCCTTAAATTCCATGGGGACTACCGTAAAACTCATTGTAAATGTTGTATTGATTACTTGGTGGTTTCTATTGCTCAATTTGATATACTATGAAAAAGTGATTAGTGGTGTCACTTAATTCTGTAAAGATTTTGAAACACAAATTACACAGAAAGCTAGAGAATAACTAAAGGTACTTGAATCCATTTGTCTCCTGACCTCAACCATGTCTAACTTAGGGTCCTCATTTTAGCTGTTTCTGATATATCTCTATATAAATAAATACATATGTATATATAAAATATCTCTATATAAGTAGATATGCCTAAATGTACACATTTATATATTTATAGATACATATTTAACTTGTACAGAATTTCATACTTTTCAGTTTTATAAGCTTTTAGAATCAAATTTAAGTAGTACCAAATTCAAATTCAGGGGAGAGATGCATTCCCATTTTATTGTTTCCAAACTGTAGACTTTCCAGAGTTTCCTTTCCCTTTATGAGTGAAACAACATACATTTCGAGTCATTTCAAAGTTCTTTCCCTCTCTACACATCCAGCAGGATCATCAATAAATGGTGAAGAACTTCAGCCATGCTCATTAAGCCCTTACGAGAAGACTCCCTCCATCAGCTGAGGACCACAGCAGTGCTGGGTTGAACTTACTGATCTCTGTAGCTATCACTGTAATGTTGTGCCACAGCAGTGTTTCTCGATCAAGAAGTTTTGAAGTGAAAATGGAACCATTTCCAGAATCAATGTTGAAGATTCTGTCCATATCTGTGTGTCGATCTACTGAATACCTGAAAATGCAGAGTAGAATTGTGTTTGATAGTAGTTCATATCATAAAATGATTCCCAGATTATGTTATGTTAATTTTTTGCTACTTATGGTGGATTTAAATGCCTGTAAACTGACTTTAAGCAAAATATCCCTAAGAAGTTAGTTTCTTACCATTGAGATGTAAGATTTACCAGCACATTATCATGATTATTTTTCTCTTATCCATTGTAAGACGCACCAGCTGGCTAGTTTGGCTAAGGTTAGTGAAGAGAGGAGGGAAATAGAACACGGAGCTAGAGAGGGATCCCGAGTGTAGACGGCAGAAAGATGAACTGGCCAAGGCAGAGTGTTGGGATCTATGCTAAATCACATGCAACTTTACCCTAAGGGTTTGAGCAAAGGGGATTGAAATCTAAATATTCTTTATTTACTTATTTATTTATTTTTTGTCGATTGTGGGCCTGAACTCTGGGCCTAGGCACTGTCCCTCAGCTCTTCAGCTCAAGGCTAGTGATCTACCACTTGAACCACAGTGCCACTTCTGGCTTTTTCTGTTTATGTGGTGCTGAGGAATCGAACCCAGGGCCTCATGCATGCAAGGCAAGCACTCTACCACTAAGCCACTTTCCCAGCCCCTCTAAATAATTTTTTTTTAACAAAGTTGCTGTCATTACTGATGAAAGAGGATTGAAAAGCAGGATGGGGGATGGTCTTAACTTCCATTTTGTGTTGGTACTGGGGCTTCAATTCAAGGTGCTCTGCCATTTCTCCATCCCCTTTTGCCTTTAGGTAATTTTTTTTTTTTTTTGTCGGTCGTGGGGCTTGAACTCTGGGCCTGGGCGCTGTCCCTCAGCTCTTCAGCTCAAGGCGAGCGCTCTACCACTTGAGCTACAGCACCACTTCCGGTTTTCTGGTGGTTTATTGGAGATAGGAGTCTCATGGTCTCTCCTGCCCGGGCTGGCTTTGAACCACGATTCTCAGATCTTAGCCTCCTGAGTAGCTAGGATTACAGGCGTGAGCCACCAGCGCCCGGCAAAAGTTTTCTTTTCCTTTTTTTTTTTTGGTCGGTCGTGGGGGTTGAACTCTGTGCCTGGGCGGTAATTTTTGTTTTTAAAGATGAAGTCTCAAGTTGCCCTGGCCAATCAACCCACCTACTGCCTCCTTAAGTTCCATTCTTTTTTTAGGGGGGTGGGTGATACTGGTGTTTGACCTCAAAGCCTCATGGCTCCTAGGGAGGCGCTTTACCAGCTAGCCATACCCCCAACTCCCTTCTTCCCTCTTTTTTTGCACTGGTTGTCTTGAGATAGACTGCTTCCTACAAAACTTGTGCACTGACTGCGATCATCTTATTTCTTGCTTCCCACTGTAGCTGTCATATCAGACCCAGCATCTCCTGGGGAGCTGGAGTTCTTGTGAACTTTTCTGCTTGGGTCTGCCTGGGCCCATGGTCCTCCTGATCTCAGCCTTTCACATAGCTAAGGTGACAGAAATGTATCACTATACCCGGGTATTGATTGAAAAGGGGTCTCATGTATATTCCTGGGCTGGTCTTGAACCACAACCCTTTCATCTCAGCCTTCCAAGTTAAGTTGAATTACAGATGTCAGCTGCTGGTGCCCTGGCTCGGAAGTTCCATTTTTGAAAATGCCCAGGGTGTGGAAAGTCTAGGAGGAGATGTGTAGTCAGAAGCTCAGGATAAAAATTGGAACTGACCATCTAGATTTCTATTGAACTGTTCAGAAAAGAACAGCAAGTGAAGGTAGACAAACACAAAGGACAGAATCACTGAAAGGACCAGAAGGGGAAGAAATGCCACAGAGAACTAACACAGTCCTGGAATGCAGTAAGAACTAGACATATACTTAAGGAGAGCTGATAGGAATTCAAATCAGTTTGAGTCTTATCTTCCATATCATGGGGCAGAATATTTAACTCTGAAACTGATGAAAGACTAGTAAATTTTGAGAAATGTTATTTATACATTGGTTACTAGTTTTATTTGTTTATTAATATGTTTATTGCTACTAGCTTTTAGAATAGTCAGATAGGATGGAAAGTTTGCATGTATGTTTATGAATAAGGAAGCACTAAGAGGAAATCCTGAAGAAAGCATATTAAAGCCCTTCAAGAAAAACAATTGCCCATCTTACTGGGATTCTCAAGCATATATTATCTTAAAACTTTGCTTAATAGAATGCAATTTAAGTACATGATTCATCTAGTCAGACATATGTGAAATGAATAGGGAAGATTGTTACTAATTTATAATAGCATAGCATGTTCAAGATTCTGTTTCAGGAGTTATTTTTGTTTAAAATGGGGGTAGTGAGTTACAACAAAGTATATTTTATCTTAATTTCCTCAAGTGGCAGATGACTAAATGAAATAAATATTCAATTTCTGCAGGCTATTTAGACCTCATTTCAAAGAGAATTAATGAAGTTAACACACATACATATATGTTTAAATTTTGACTTTTAGTTTTAGTGTATTTAAACAAATATTTATTATTATCAAAGGGTAATTTTTCCATTTTTGTTGTGCCCAGATTTTTTAAAAGAGAATTTAGTTACTTGATGACCTTTCATCATTTGAAAATTTGAAATGATAATTTTTAAAATTTTATTTTATTGTAAAGATGCTGTACAGAGGGGTTACGGTTATATAAGTAAGGTAGATTTCTTGTTGAATATTGTTACCCACTCCATTGTTGTTCTCCCACTATCCCTTCTCTCCCGCGATAAATTTTTTTTGTTGTTGTTGGTCATGGGGCTTGAACTCTGGGACTGGGCACTGTCCCTCAGCTCTTCAGTTTAAGGCTAGCACTCTACCACTTGAGCCACAGTACCACTTCTGGTTTTCTGGTGGCTTATTGGAGATAAGCATCTCATGGTCTTTCCTGCCTGGTCTGGCTTTGAACTGTGATCCCTAGATCTCAGCCTCCTGAGTAGCTAGGATGACAGACATGAGCCACTGGTACCTGGCCCCCGATAAGTTTTTTTAACACATAGTTGATTACTAAAAAGGAAATCTCAGTAATCATAGACTTTATGAGAAATTGAATAATTATTTATGTATGTTCTTTTCTACTCTTGAGTAATGCTAAACTGAAGAAGTGCTGTCCAGTTCCTCTAAGAGCTGTTACAGTTTATATAGCAGTAATCTTTTCTGTCTGTCCTTTCTCTGCCACCTGGTATAGGTTTAAGTAATCATGATTTCCCATTAAGCCTTGAAATAAAGGTTAAGCAATGAGGAAGTTTTAGTTGAAGGCTGCTTTAAATTTTAAAGAAGGAAGATTAACTATTTAAGAAATACCAAAATTTATATTGCCTTTTCTTAATTGAGAGATTAAAAATTAATAGAAAATCTAAAATGCCCATACTGTTTAGGAGTGATGCTTACACAAAGTCTCATTTTCTTCTTGTTGTTGTTTTTGCTAAAGTAATTTCAATTTACATCAAGAGTATTTATCTTGAATAACATTAATTGCATTCCTCACTAATAGGAAACAGGGTAATCAATCCCACTGTGATAACAGCAGATCATTTTTCTGGAAAGTTCTTTTTTTCCCCCATGAGGACCAAATTGTATTCTGTGATTAAATAATGTCTTCTCATGTGTCCTCAGGTCAGAAATATTTGTGAGTTGGGAAGATGTACTTGCATGTAATTATTTTTCCTAGTAGGTTTTTTATAGGGACAGAGGACCACCTCATGGATACAAAAAGGTGTTTATGATAAAGTTACTGGAAGGAAATTATTTATGTGATTAAAGCTATTGTGACTGCATGATAAATCAATGCTTGGGGAAGAATTCTCTTAATTAATTATTCACCTAACATAATGTTTAACCCCTTGTTACTCAATATTTATGTCTAGCCAAGGCTAGACATATATATGACTATATATGTATGCATATATAGAGAGAGGGAGAGAGAGAATGATTTATGTTTATTTCATAAAAGAATCACTGGAACTTATATTATATTCCAATATTTTGATGCATATTTCTAGTCTTAAATCTATGTCTATATATCAAATCCATATGTACCAATGGAAGACTGACAATGAAGAAACCTTAAAATTAACTAACAACCATCCCAGTGTGACCAGTTAACTACTTATAAAACATAAGACACGGTGGGTAAAATAGTATTTAGTGTAAAAAGCAACATAGACATCGAAGTGTATAGCCCTGCATTTTCGCGAGACATATTCTCTTAAAAACGTGTTGACCTATTAGGGAGTTAACTGAAGCTCATTATTTGTAAACTTCTGGCATTAATGATTTTAAATTGGACTTGACACTGGCTGGCTAAGACTTTTTTTCTACATGCGGTTAGAACAACTCCAAGTGAGAGAATGGTTTGTACTTAAATGATTTGTGCTGTGTCGGTGAAAGCCATCATTTATTTTCCTTCATTAATAACAATAAATGTAGATGTGGAAACACACAATCCACGGAACTTAATGTGGCTATTTGAGTTGGCATTGTGTAGTTCAAGGTGACATTTAGATATTCCTTGAGAAAGTTCTGCTTGCCTCCTCGAAAGTAAGTCAGGCATTTCTGTGTGTTTTACCTATGATATGATCATGTTTGATTTGCACAAAGGGACCACAGTTAGAAAACAATTGCCTTCCATTCTCTGCCTTTTCTCTGCAATTATATCCTTTGATTTTGGCGTGGCTAAGAGCGATGCTTTTGAAATGAAGTTTTGGATTTGGTAACTTTTCTTCTACTCAAAGCTTCCCCATGGCTTTTCTCCTCCATGAAAATAAAATCCAGATTTTTTTATGTCTTTATCACAAAGCCCTGCAGGGCCTGCCCATGTTCACCTCACCTGCCAACCTTCCTGCTGGACTTTCCCCAGTCATCCTCTCTCTTCTAGCTGTACATGTCTCCTTGCTACTCTATCAACATGCCAAACCAGCTCTAATACCATACCTTCTGTGGCTTCTCCCCTTCTGGAGGGTCCTCCCCCAGGTATTTGCATAGTGCACTCCTTTCTGTTTAGACATTTACTTGAATAACTCCTGTTAAGAAGGCCGGGCCTGATCATAGTGTCTACAATAGTTCCTCACTTGGTCTTTGTTTCCATCCTCTGCTTTAGTTTTTATTTCATTCTCGGTGTAGCATTTATTTTCACTTGATATGTTACATATTTATGCTGTTTCTTTCTATCTGTAATCTCTTAGGAATCAAGACTCACTATTAGTTTTCTGGGTTATTCCCTGGTGGCTAGGACATTTCTGCACACAGAGGGAACCCTGATCAGAGCATACTTGTGGACTCACTGTCATGAATTCCTATAGCTTTGCACTCTGCTTACTTTATTAACGGGGGATAATGGATGCAATGGCTTTCTGTTTAATATTCTCCTCATTAATTAAGCTGCTGGCTACAGGCTTCAAGATTTTCACGAGATTCTAGAATTTTCAAGCTGTCAGGGATCTCCAAGAGCAATGAAGCTTTCTTACAGCATGACTTATTGCGAAAGTGTCAGCAAAATACATAGAAAACAGCTTGTTTACATAGCATTAATTTGAATTCTGCTCTATTAATTTCCCCATGATTCCACAGACATAGATCATGAAATGTTCTTTATTTACATCTGCAAGAGGACAAATTATGCATTCAAATGAAGCATAATTCTACCTCTAAGTGTTCCATGATCAGGTTCTGCCCACACTTGAAAAGCAGGCCCTCAAGCCTAGTGCCTGGTTTGTTTGTTTCTCCAGTCTACATGTTGACAGATCTTAAACCTTAGCAAATAAAAAACATCTTAATTTAAAAAAAAAATGCCAAGGGTCATTCAGTTCCATCACTTTATGAGACTTGTATATAAGCAGCAAACTCTTCAAGTTACTATTATTAACATTTTTTTCTTTCCAATTTTGTATATATTAGATTTAGGCTGCTGCTAACATAGTATTTATGCAGTGAACTAGAAGATTAAAGGTATGGGTTTTCAGGAAAACACAACTGTCTTTTTAAAATTCACACATAGTTTGTTATTTGAATAGAAATCCTCGGATTTAGGAAATAGATGTGATTGAAGAAATGTGCTTACTTGACGGGATTCCTGGCCGCGTCTGGATCTTGAGCTGTGACTGAGCCAACTGTGGTGTTTATCTGAGCGTCTTCTCTTATCTGTAGGACGTAGGCCAGTTTGCTGAAGACAGGAGGTTCATCCACATCCTCCACCACGATTCTCACTGTGGCTGAATCTTTGAATGGACCCAGGTAGAGAAATCGCGGTTCCACATGGGGATTGGAAGCTTCCACCTTCAGGGTATACACTTTCTTCTTTTCAAAGTCCAAGAGCTTTGGAGAAAAAGGGATATGTTGAAAGCAGCCAGGACATAGAAAGCCAAGATAGGAACCATTTTAAGTACAAGTCTCTGATAGATGAATACGCTTAGAGAAATCACTATGCCTTAGTGTGATATTGGGCAGAGGCAGCAAAGATAAGGTATAATTAATTTTCTTCCCACAGCCTAGGCCATTAAGAGAGAAACTATTACCTTAGCCGTGAAAGAGTTCTGATACCACTCAACTCTAATGTCAATGTGGGCTGAAACTATGTCTGCTGTTGATTGAAAGTGCCGGGGGTATTAGCATCACGGAGGGAATCTGGGAGTAGAAATCTGTCATGGCTAATCGCTGTCCCTTAAAATGCTTTCCTATATTTAAATAGAGGGGTCACCAGGAGTCAACCAGAGATATGTAGTGCATTAGTCTGTAGATATTCTCACATCTGGCTTTCATTTCACTTGCTGAGTGTTCAAAATTTGCAAATGCCTGGTGCCCCAGATTTGGATATTAAACTAAATACCTAGACTGGGAGAAGTCAGCTACATGTATAAGCACCTTCTCCACTGATCTAAGGTGCAGCTGGAGTTGAGAATCACAGGTTTGAACCATGCTTCTCTCTTCCTCAAGCAGACAAAATAGATGGCATTTGTTTTGCATGAGTTACCCAAATATTACAAACAATATCCTGATAAGAACTGGGAAGTAATTATTTACCCAAGAATGAAATGATTATTGTTGTCAAAGAACTTTAAGAAGAACCTTTTTTTCCTTTTGGAGTCACAGTGAAGGCAAAGTTTTTTTTTCTTTCTGACTTTTAGATGCTAACAGGATGAGGCTCCGTAGAAACACAATTAATCAAGATGTTAGTGAATGAGATTTAGTTGGCTAGGCAAAATTTCAGTTCAAATCTGATAAGGCACCATGAAAATTAAAAAGGTTAATGCACACTAATGGGTTTCTTAATTATATTATGGTATAAAACATTGGTCTGAGAGCCACTGAAGCATGGTTTATTGTAGTTCTAGGTATTAAGACATGGTTTTAAGAGGAAAAAAAGTTTTTGTTATTTGCATCCACCTGTGTTTATATTTACTAGCATAAAATAGTATGTGTAGGAAGCAGAAATTATTACTCTCTGCAGGATATAAGACAAATCACTAAAATGTTTTTAGCCTTCAGGCATATAAGATTTTAAAGTTTTAAAATTAAAAATAAATTGGGTTGGTACTGTGGTTTGACAGAGCCTGGGCTCTGTCCTTTGTGTGTTTTTTTTTTTTTTTTCCTCAAAGCTAGTATACTACCACTTGGGCTATAACTCCACTTTGGAGATAAGAATCTCATGGACTTTCCTGTCCAGGCTGGCTTCAAACAGTGATCCTCAGATTTCAGCCTCCTGCATAGCTAGGGATACAAGTACGAGCCACAGCACCTGGCTTAATTTCCTTGGTTTGAATGCTACACTTTTGGATGCTGTTCTGTAGTGCTAGACAATTTAGGGATGTAAAATAATACAGAAGTACACAGGTGAAAAATCAAGAAAATTAGAATCTAAAAGATTTATTATCATTGAGTTCCATAAATTCTTAAAGGAGTTGTAACAAATTTGTATTGCATATATTAAATTTGTACCCATTGTGTATCTACTGTGTCTAAGTCATGTTGCCCAGCTCTTGTATCCTCTCTCTCTCTCTCTCTCTTTCTCTCTCTTTTGTTGGTCATGGGCCTTGAACTCTGGGCCTGGATGCTGTCCCTGAGCTCTTCAACTCAAGGCTAGTGCTGTACCACTTGAGCCTTAGCACCACTTCCCGTTTTCTGGTAGTTTATTGGAGATAAGAGTCTCATGGACTCTCCTACCTGGGCTGGCTTTGAACCATGGTCCTCAGATCTCAGCTTCCTGAGTTGCTAGGATTACGGAGTGAGTCAACCACTGCCCAGACTCTAGCCTCTTCTCCTTTAACGCATGTTTCCCAGCTTGTTACCCATTTTGTTTGTTTGGTTCCTAACTGACTTCTGCCAGCTATTACCTAGCAGTTCCATGAAAGGAGAGACCACTCTTGTCCATGTGGGCCCCTCCCCTCTGTCTGCTTAATGTTATCACTTCCTTATTTTTTATGTACACCATCTGTTTATATTATTTATTTACTGCAGAGACTTAATAAAATTTATCATAAGTATAGAATGAAAGAATACATAAAATTAGTTTTAGATCCCTAAGAGCTAACTCCCAAGTTATCTCAGCATCATTAAAATAATTAGAACAATAAAAAGATGAAGGAAGGCTTATGTGAGGTGTTAGTTGTCTTTGGTGACTCGAGAACTAGAGAAAAGTAAGTGTGTCCCTTTATATGACAGTCAAGATGCATCATTACCTTTTTGACGGTTATAATCCCTTCCTGGGTTTCCTGGTCTGTGATGACATCAAACATATCCAGGCCCTCGCCATCTGTGATGCTGTATTCAATTTCCGCATTTTCTCCTACATCAGCATCACTGGCTTTGATCCTGCCAATTGGTGTACCCGGTGGAGAAGACTCAGGTGTTTTAAATTGGTATGAACCTATCAGTCACCAGAGATTTGAATCAAACACAGGCTAAGCATTCTCAGTTACCATAAATTATACCCTCCTATCCATAGAGGATTCATTCCAAACCCCCAGTGGATGCTGGAATGCTGATTGTTATAAACTCTAAATAAAGTATATACACATATATACAAGTGTATATATACATATGTGTGTATACACACACAGTATACTTTATTTAGAGTTTATAACAATCAGCATATATACACATGTATATATGCATATATGTATATACATGTGTATATAGTATATACACGTGCACACATATATGTATCTGTATGTACAGGTATACATATATATACTAAATGTTACATATAGTATTTAGTTTAGATACAGTATTGCAAATACAATATGCTCTTTTTCCCTGTACATAGATACTGATGATAAAGTTTAACTTGTAAATTTGTACAGTAAGAGATTAATAATAAATTCTAAGCATGAAAGCTAGAACAGTTATAATAATAGACGGTTATTAAAAATTTTCAAACTGTTAATTTCTGGAATCTCCTATTTAATATTTTTGGACATTTTGTGATTGACAATGGGTACCTGAAACCACAAGAGGTTAGACAAACCATTGTCTAACCATACTTCAATATATAACCAAGGATGGAGGGAGATCTGAGATTTCTTCTGAACAATGAATGGTGCTCTGTTCTCCATATGTCTTTGCTTTCCCGATTATTCAAATGGTATCTTATAATTCATGACATGTAAATGGAAAGCACTTTTTGTGTCCTGTGCATGGGCTTCTGCGTTTGTGGTATGAGGGTGAGAATGGTTGAAATGTTGGTTGAAATGTTGGAGGAAGAAAGAGAGGGTTTCCAAGTCCTCTATTAATGTAATCTAACAGAAAAAGAATTTAACTGCAATTCCAATGTGCAGCCAGTGACTAGGTGCTTTTACACAAGTCCTTTCTGCCACTGCTAATCCCAGCAGAAGGGGCTAAGTGACATCGGTTTGGAGAACAAATCCACATGGATGCCTTTAACCCAGCTGCACAGCTTCACCTACCTGCCAAATTGGAGTTATGGAGGAATCCACAGAATTAGAAAGCTCTTATTTTGTTTTTCTTGACTAACACTTTCTTTTAAGTTCCATGATAGTATTTGATCTATTTACAAATTTTTCTTGCATATTTATCTTTGCATGATTAATTCAAAAATTTAAGATTTACATGTGAATTTCAGTTGAGATTTGACAGGGAAGCCTATGCTTAGAACTAAAAATAAACTAGGAAATAAGTAAAAAAAAATATAGCCAAAACCAAACAACACAATTCCATTTTCATCTATTACATTTTGCCAATCATTTAAACAAATGGCCTTTGGGGGGGAAAAACAACCCCAAACAGACTATGCCACCACTAAAACACAAGTCTTAATTCCCTGAGTTTTGGGCTCAAGTTGGGGAAAATAATAAAGTAACTTAAATATTTCTCTAGTGGATTCAACTTCCATTTTAGGACCTACTATCTTTGCCTTTCTGTATTCTCTCCTCTCTTGCTTCGGTGCACTGTTTTGGTTACAAGCTTCAGACCATCTTTGGAAAGAAAAGAATGAATGGGAAACCCCTCTTGTACTAAAGTGCTAGTAAATTCTTATATGGTCTTTCCTAGAGAAAGGTGTTGGTGAGCTTAATACTTTCATTTTAGGGGGAAATTATAGGGCTTATAAAACTTTTTATTGTACTCTACATACCAGAAGATATTAGTTAGCTTCCTATTTTTGTTATTTAGTCAGCTCTGATTACATGCTTCAGAAATGAAAGGATTTCCTACTGGCCCTTGAATTCCTATTCTAGGGAAGCCAATAGTGTAGTTGCTGGCAATCTTATTTTTTAAATTTAATTAATAGTGTGTGTGTGTGTGTGTGTGTGTGTGTGTGTGTGTGTGTGTATGCACATTTGCCACTAATGGAGCTGAACTCATAGCTTTGTACTCTTGCTTTGTTTTTTCACTTAAAGCAAGTGCTCTGCCACTTGTGCCATAGCTCTATGTCTGGCTGGTTAATTGAATTTCTACTTGGGTTGTTTTTGAACTGAGATCTTCAAATATCAGCTTCCTGAATAGTTAGCACTTAGCCATTACCTACCTACCTACCTAACTATATATATTTATTTATATATATTGCCATAGGCTACTATGGCAATATATATAAATAAAAGGTGAGTTCGTTGTTTAATAATTGAGGTAATATATGTAGAAAATTATGTTGGAAAGGTATTATTACTTGAAGAAAAAAATGACGTTTAAACAAGTTCCTACTTGAGTGGTTCTGTGCAGGAGTCTACCCCATTACTTGGTACTAAAGTAATATTGGGGCTGGTGCTGTCACTTCCTAGTTGTGAGAGTTGGTGATTTTTTATATGACTTTTGGTGTCACCATTAACCATAAAGAAAACTCTATGATGACAGAGTTATATTTTTAGGAACAGGAAAATGATAAGTCCTCCCTTACAAAGCTTTGTGAGCCTCTAAAAGAGATTACATGCCTGATTAAGTTCACAAAACATAAAATCAAGTATTTTCTCCCCTAACAAATAGCAGCATGCTTGTATACATATGTTCTGCACAAGCAAATTTATGTCTCTGGTCGTCTTTTTTAATAAGCAAAAAGCAAATAAAGACGTTCCTCTTCCAACAGCAGCCATAGCTGAAACTGCTCAGCTAATTACCCAACGGTGGAACATAAAGGTTCACACTTCCTGAGCACAAGTAGTGTTTTCAACTCATTTTAATAATTTTAATAAAAGTGCCAATTCTTACTAAGTCCACCCATTTTGACAATCATGATGGCAACAGGAAATACATATTCTTAAAGGTAGTATTTCACACAATCTTATTGAAGAAACCCATTTAATTAAATGTTCTTACTCTGGGGAAATCGAGGCGGGTTGTCGTTGACATCAGTCAGCGTGATGTTCACAGTAGTGGTTCCTGAGAGGCCGCCCATTTGGCCGCCCATGTCTTTGGCCTGGATGACCACTTGGTACTGCTCTCTGTTTTCTCGATCCATGTTGAGCAAAGCTGTCTTGATGATACCTATGGTGATGACATTTAGGAGTAGAAGGGGATGCATTAAAAATACTTTATGGACTCATTTATTTAGGCAAACAAACACAGACTGTCACCCACAATATGCAAACCACGATGCAGATGTCATGGTGATATAAAGATGATCATGTACAGCCTTCATAACAGAGGATATTACAATCACACAGGGGAGAGAGATACATTCCGGAAAGCTTATAACATAAAGAGAATGAAAATAAGTATGAGTCAAATTTTATGATAGTACAGACTGCAGAGAGTAGAAATATTAAGTGCTATATGAAGACAGAAAAAATATTAACGGCACATGATAGAAGGGTATACACTACAATAGTCACCTGATAAAAAACATGTAGATGGGTTATGAGTAAGTCATTAAGAAAACCCTACATTCTTGAATGGATTCTTGAGTTCCACATTATTGAACTGGCTAATGGTTTCTCAGATGGACCTATAATAATGAACAGTCTGAGGACTCTCTAATCCACAAAATTATGAAATTAAGAAAATGTGGCATCAGTTTTCTGATAATTAGAGTCTTGTATGATCCTTGAGAATTTAGGATTTTATGAAAGCTGAGGAGAGCTGTAGTTCAACTGGTCCCAACAGTAGCCAACCTTTGAAAGTTAGGTTAAATTTATTTCTACTGTTAGGAAGGTATAGGATAATTACTTAAAGGAATTTCTCAGAGTTTGCTTAATCCCTATATAGGGTTTATCTTAAATTAGCTTTCTGTTAAAATCACTGGAAGAGGTTTTATAACTCTCTCCAGTTGTACATTCTAGTGCTTAACAACTAATGAAGCTGAAAATATCTTTTTTTTTTTTCCTTTTTAACAAGAATACCTCAGACAACAGGTCAATTTTACTCCAATGGTCTTGGCTTCAAAGTGCAGCTGCTTGCTGTTCCTCAAATAATAGAACTTCTTTATTTAAATATAGGAGATCATCTTAGCCTTTTGTCCTAGAAGTAGAATTATTCTAATTTTTCATATTCTTTGCTTTTCAACTCAACATTTTCTTTCTCCTTGGGATTCTGTCCAAGTTCACTGAACCTTTTAACATCTGTATTTTCAACTGGGATGTAGAACATAGAAAGATTCTGATTTCTAGTCAAACCAAAGGATGTTTGAAAATGTCTTAAAAGGAAATTTGACTCTCATTATGACAGCAAAAACATGTATAGAATTTAACATACAATACAAATGCTCTTTTGCTACCAAAAAATCATCTCAAATGTATGATTTTTTTTTGGTAGGGAAAATACAGAAAAATGAGATGCTGAGAAAACGATTCTATAGTCAGCTGTGTCAGTTAGCATAGGCTAGTTAATAATGTGACAACAGTCAATACAAAATCCCTATGACTTATCGCAAAGGAAGGTTATATTTTGCTTTTACTCTGAACAGGCAAGCAAGAAGCTCTGTAGGCTTCTGCTATTTATTCAGGCTGTGTAACCCATCTCAACAATAGTTTCCATGACCTCTGTGGCAATAGGAAAGGAATGCAGCAGACTGCGTACCAGCTCCAAAAGTTCTGTGTGGAAGTGACTTGTCTTCCAGCCCATTTTATTTGCCCAACTAAGTCACATGGAAACATCTTAGCTGCAGAACAGACTAGAACGATGCAATCTGTTGCAGTAACTGCAAAAGGAAGTCAGAATATCTGTGAACAGCCATGATAATCCTCAGAAAGAGTTTGCCTTTTAGCTTCAATTTGCACTGCAAGAAAAATAATTGAATTTGTAATTTTTCTGAGCGTGTCCTATGTAAGTACGGAAGATGAGAGATTCATTGTCAGATTTCTTGATTAAAATGATTTGGATGCCATGCTTACAAATATATCATTAGTATTTGGCAGAGAAATACAGGAAATTTCAATCACACTGATTGTTTTTTATTAAAAAATATGCTAGCTCAGCGGAGCATGTCAATTAAAATTACAGCATATAGAAGAGAAGACCAGGAAAGAGTTCTAACCTGTTTCTGATTCAACTGAGAAGTACGGCTGTCCCTGGAGGATGCTGTAGACAACTTTAGCACTGTTGCCATAAGTTGGATCATCGGCATCTGTTGCAGTGACCTGGACAACAAATGTGCCTGGAATGACAGAAACACAAACTGAAAACTAATGAAGGGCTCATTATGTTCCTTCATACACAGATAAAAAGAAAGCATCATCTTAATTTTCTATACAGCTATCATGGTAAGAAAGGCTAGGTTGGATCCTTCTGAAGAGATTATATGATTATATTATTATTCTATTAATAAATATTGTAAGGATTAAGTTGAAGAGAAGCAAGGGAATAATTATGTTGCTGGGCATTGCATCTCAAGGATGAGATTTGTCTGTACTCTGTTTTTTTTGTTTGTTTTTTTTTAATATATATCATTTTTGTGGGGGTACTGGGGCTTGAACTCAGGGCCTGAGCACAAGTCCATTAGTATTTTTGCTCAAGGCTGAAGCTCTACTATTTGAGCCATGGCTCCACTTCCATATTTTTGGTGGTTAATTGGGGATAAGAGTTTCACAGAATTTTCAGCCTGGGCTTGCTTTGAACCTCGATCTGCAGATCTTGGCCTCCTGAGTAGCTAGGATTACAGTCATGAAACACAAGCTCTCCGCTCATATATTTTATAATCTTTAAGTAGTTGTAAATTAAATTCAGCATGTCAGCTTATGAGTACAATGCATGCTTTTTGCAGTGCTAGCATTCCAACCCAGCATCTCTTGCGTGCTAAGTCAGTGCTCTACTACTGAACTGTAGTCATTGTCTTTGACTATATTCTTGCTGCAGTAATTTTTTTTAAGTGATCCAAGATTAACTCAATCAGTATCTTTTATTACTTTGTCCACAGAATTAGTTTGGAAGTTGTCCAGTCAGGGAGGCACTGATAATTTTGTTAGAAATTCTATGTGCTTGATCTTTTTCCTGGACTATATGTAAGGTGATGAAGTGCAGTCATAAATATAGAAGCTACTTGTGAACGTAGAAACAACATTCTGTGGGTAAAAGAGGAAAAAGATGGAAAACCACCAAGAAATAACTAGACCCAAGGTCATATTTATAGTAAATATTTTTACTGTTTGAACAAGTGGGAGTTGGGTTTTCTGTTAGCTTCCAGCCTAAATAACAAATCTAGCTAGCTAGGAAGTGGTGATTCACACTCGTAATCCTAGCTACTCAGGAGGCTGAGATCTGATGATCAAGGTTTGAAGTCAGCCTGACAGGGAAGTTGTGAAAATATGATCTCCAACTAACCACCAAAAATCTGGATGTGGTACTGTGGCTCAAGTGGTACAGCACTAGTCTTGAGTGAAAGAGCTAGAGGACCATGCCCAGGTCCTGAGTTCAAGTACCAGTATTGGCAAACGCGAGAGCGTGCGTGCACGCGCGAACACACACACACACACACACACACACAGACAAATTCATATTCTAAGAGTTTTAAAGTCCTTAAACTTTAAAAGAATTAGATGTATCAGGTAAACAATCAATTGAAACAGCCGAGCATAAACATCTGGAATTTGTCATCCAGATTAATATACAAAGAAGATTTCTGCATTTTAGACTGGTATACTTATTTTGGAGCTAATTCTCACAAATAACTTTCAAAGTATCTTATCTATGCTGAAATTTCATGACAACTTTCATGTAAATGTTTACATGGTTATTTCATGGAGAGAAGGCTCATAGGATTTATTTATTCTCAAAGGGAGCAATGACCACCAAAAAGAGGAGATTCTTTAAGGCTTATTTTTGATGATCCTATCAGATAAGCCATAAGAATGCCATCCATGAAAAGGGTAGGAAAGTTCCAGCTAGGAGATATTAGAATTTTTAAATTGCTGTTGTAGAATGTAACCAATTTCATTTATGGAGCAAACAGTATGTGCTGTGGTAGGGTTGGATGTATTGGAGGTTGCACGCCTATGTGTGGGATACTGCATCCACCCTTGTAATTTTCCAGGAAGAGAGAGGGAACAAGAGCATCATGAGATTTTAGAGGGAAAGCTAATAGAAGTCAACAAATACTTAACTTCTTATTTGCATTAATAAAAAATTTGATTGCTTTTCTAATATGATTATCTGCCTGTTATAAGTGCCCATTAGCTGCCAGATATTGTATGAAGGCTCTGTACCTGTTTTCTTATTTAATCCTCATGATAACCCTTAGAAGTAGATATTCATTATTTATTTCCTATAGACACAGAGCTGGGAGATCAAAGAATTCAGGATCAGAGAAATCAAGCAATTTGCCCAAGGCTACACTGCTGGTTATTAGGGGAGATAGTTTCAAATTTATGTCTGTTTTTACCTCTCTGCTACTGTCCTACTACACACACACACACACACACACACACACACACACATGCATACACACATATATAAAGCATTATATATCACCATGTTGATTCATAATAATAATGAATGTCAAAAGTACTATGCCTGCATGCAAATAAAAGAAAACAACAAAATAAAACCCTTTCCTTTTTCAAGACCTGTGACTGCCAGCTATCCCCCAAATTTGAAATACATATTTAATTCTTTAGTGGCTTCAAAAGTGAATGTAATTCCCTAGAGTGTGGGCTACATGACCTGCATATCTGGTCAAGAGTTGTTCTGGGTGCTGCTGGTAACAAGGCTAGCTCTCCTTCGTTAGCTCTCCTTAGTTCTTTTGCTTTCTACCACCTAGAGAGGGAAGAAAAAAAGCCTTTTCCCCCCTAACAAACCTTCCTTTTAGAAGAATTTCAATCCCTCTGGTTGCTTTCGTGACGGCTTGTGATTTTCCTTGCTAAACAAAATGACTTCAAGTAATGAGATGAACAGTTTCACGAGAAAAATGGCAATATTTTATATTTTTTCCCCACAGACTGGATATTTTCCAAATCTTGGAATTGGAAACATCCCTGATCTCTGACTGACAGACTCACAGCAAGGTTATTATACATTCTCAGTCCTTTGGAATTAAAAATAGAATTAAAAATAACCCCTTTACTTGAATAGTTGAGAATTTGTCACTGTCTTCCAGGTAGTATCTTAACATTTCTAAGAGTGAGTGACATTCTACAGTTTTTCTTTCTTAATTTAAATCCTGTTTACCTATTAAACCAATTAAATCCACACGAACTGAACTTAAAATTGGTAGTGAAATTGTGCATAAAATATTAATCCACATTATTAATATCATGAACGTCTCTGAATTTCTACCATCTGCATATTGTTTATGGATTAAAATTATTTATGGAGTCTCTTTTCAAATTTACAGTTACTTACAGCAGCTACCACTAGTCTTTGGACTAGACTTGAAATTTAGACTTTTGTTTTGCAGTGGAGAGGTCCTTCCTGGAGCCTAATGATGTGGACCAAGAGAACAGAGTACCGTCCTTGAGCTTTTGTACCCAACGCTAGCACTCTACCACTTCGAGCCACAGTGCCACTCGGTTTTCTGGTGGTTAACCTGAAAGAAGAGTCTAATAGATTTCCTACCCCAGCTGGCTTTGAACCATGATCCTCAGATCTCAGCTTCCTGAGTAGCTAGGATTAGAGGTGTGAGCCCCCGGTGCCTACCTCAAGCTTCTCTATTTGGTGAATAGACTGCAGGAGACCCAGCTCTTGGTTGAAATCACATTGTACTCACCAACATCAGACATTTCCGGGACAGTGGCTGTGTAAACGTCCTTGGTGAATATTGGCTCATTGTCGTTGATGTCATGGATTTTGATGATGAACTCAGACTCAGGCTCCACGGGTCTTCCTGTCCTTCTGTTAATAGCCTGAGCTCGGAGGATGTATACGGGCTTTTCCTCCCTGTCCAGCCTCCTGGTGGCCTGTATGTCGCCTGTGTTTTCATTGATAATGAAGAGATCTCCTGCTCCATCTCCTGAAAGGATATATTTAAGTGATCCATCGCCTCTATCCTGGTCTGAATGTAACTGGTGTAGGGAAAAAAAAATTAAAGAAAATAAAGGTCAAGCATGTGATAGTAAACTTCCTGTCTTCACCATGCATATTGTATTAATTTTCATTCAATCCCCCTTACGACATGTAGATTTTTACTTTTTGCTATTCTATAAAACCCTTCCATAGTAAAACATATTTATTAATGACCAGGCTTCTTTACAACCAGTGTTTTGCAGTAAATTTAGCAGTCATTAATAAAAAGTCTTTGAATAGTGTATAAAGGGGTTTCAACTCAACAATTTATAATGACAATGCATCTTGATCAATGTCACCTGGAGCAGGAATGCTGAAGGTCAGAGCAATAGTAAGACCTCCAGGACACAGACACTTGTCTACTGATCTTCAGTAGAGTTTCCAGACTGCCCACACTTTCTCCTTTTCATATAATACATATAACTCAAGTGATAGACTATTGTAGAAGGACTGGTTTTCTAATCACAGAGATGTGGGGTCTATTCTTTCTCTTGAAAAATTTAGGCACAAGTTAGGCAATCATCGTGGATGTCTGGTGATACTTCTGGGAAGTATCTGGGAAGTCTGATACTTCTTTTAGGAAGATGTGATGTTCATTTACTTGTGAGCTTCAGCTCAAAGCAGGTAACATGCAGTCTTAGATCCACCATGAACAGTGTTGTATAATCCCTCTTTCTAGACAACATACAATGTCAGCTTAAAAAAAGATACTTAATATTCAGATTTCCATAGACAATAAGAAAAAAACCTTCTAATATGTAAAGCCAATCCAAACTACATGTGCCTGATGAAGCAGTGAACTCTCTGCAAGGTGACCAAGCAGACACTCTGATGATTCCTTGTCAGGGAACTAGGTCTGAGTCAATGGTTGAACTAAACAAATACTAGGATACTGTACAAGTGGAAGATGATGCTTCTAACTTGGAAAAAACGGTCCACATACTCTTATCCTAAAGATCATTTCTACAGTCTTCAGTTACTGTTGTTTCTCTAATTCTATTTCTATTTCTCTCTCAACAAAGAATTAGATTTTCAGATACTCTTCAAATTAAAAAAAGTGCTGTGTAAAAGCATTTAGAATTCTGTGTTACACACATCAGTGACATATAGGTAGTAGTGTGAAAGCTGCCATCCATGTAAGCAGAGGAACTATGTTACAACAACTACCTGTTATGTTATCTCTCTCTCCCTCTCTCTCTCTCTCTTTTTCTCTCTCTGGCTGGTACTGGAGCTGGGGCCTGGGATCTGTCCCTAAACTTTTTTGGCTCAAGGATGGCATTCTATCACTTGAGCTACAGTTCCACTTCTAGCTATTTGGTAGTTAAATGAAGATAAGCATCTCAAAGATTTTTCCAGCCTGGGCTGGCTTCATACCAAGCTAGGATTACAGGTATGAGCTACCAACACTTGGTAATGTGTTCTCTTGATTATTTATGAAATGTTTCTGTATAGTATCTACAAACAAGTTTGAAAATAGATTCCCAGGGCAAAAAGGGACTTAGAAAACTATATAACCAATCTTGGTAAAAGTATTTACCATGGACCATCTTTTACTGAAGGTACAAAGGGTAAGGGTCCTGGGGTTCAATAAATTCAGGAAAAACATAGTACTCAACCTCATTGTTTGGAGCCATCTATTAACATATTAAAGAAAATGCCTGCATGCACGTTGAAACTCTAGTTGATTTGTTTAGGCTTCTGGAACTTTCTTGTTTGATGCATCTTTTTTTTTTTTTTTTGGTATGACTCTTATGGATAGGCCTCTTGACTAGTTTTCTGAGAGAGATTCTTGATGATCAAGTCAAAATACTCGAGGTTCTGGTTTACATAGTTTCCATCATCACACCCAGCTCATATGACAGGCCTGCCTACAAACTCTAATCTTAGAAGATGCCTTGGAGAGTATGCAGTGCAACTTTTTCCTTTTGGAGATAGTTGGATCCAATGCCACAGAGCTACAGCTAATTGAGGAGTTTGAGAATGAGAATATTATTCATACAATTAGTAGCTTTGGAAGCAATTTGGCAGAAATAATGGAAGACAAATGTGAACAGGGAGGAAATTGCTTAGAAGTGAGACAAACGCCATAAGAAATGTAAAACAAGGGCCCTGGGTAATTTGTGTAATGTGATGTGCTAAGGAACCGTTGAAACTCAGATGACACAGAAAAAGTCACCAGGGAAGGTTTAACTCTCCATTGTCAGATCTTAATGACTGAAAAGTGCTTTTAAAAAGCCATTTCATTAACTCTTGAGTAAAGCAAGTGAAGTCTCTGCCCTTTGGATGGCTGCTCCAGGGAAGCTGTATGGTCCAGTAACCTGGGAAGGTGCAGGGCCTACTACACACAAGTAGCAAGCATGGGTCATGATCATTTTCTTTCTCTCACCAACTATAAGACCACCACATGGCCTATTAGCTTCCCTGAACCATAATTCTTATCAGTAAAAGGAGGAAAACAAGATCCATAGGCCTGTAGAGCTATTGTGAAGATCTAATTAGAGACCATATACAAATACCACATTAATTGCCACATACACTTTCTGTAAAAGCGTGCTATGTTGTTTTGTAAACTATAAAACCCCTTTCTAGATAGTGCCGTTATCCATAGCTTTTAGTTCACTCTCAGCATGCTTTTGCTCTTATTTTGACTTTGAAAACTTTATTTTGAAGACTCAGAAAACCCAATTTTATAAACACGATATCTCTGAGGTAAAATCTGTTATCAAAAGCGAGTATTCTTCTGCCTGGTGGCAAGTGCTGTCTTTACATATGATTTATTGTATTCTGCATCCCACTAGATTATAGACTCTCCTTGGCCTGTTCTTTCATCATTTTCAATATGTAATTGTTGCACACTTAGTAGGTGAAGACCACATCTGGTCACAAGATTTATTCAGGTAAAAGTAATCAGAAACTTATTTTTTGCTGTCAAGAGAGACCATTTGGATGACTTATAGAACAAACACCAGAGACGATATAAAGGCACAGAGGAGAAGCCAAAAAAGGGAGTGAACAGGGATTGCGTGGCAGATACCAATTCTGATTTATCAATATTTGAAAACTAGTGGGAAAATGCATCTCTTTATTCAGGCATTGTCTGATAAGGAAACAATTTAACCTTCTCCCCTCTTCTCCCCAAAGGATGCCATCTGGGTTTGACTGAGTGCATGGAACAGAAACCTTCTGTGATTTTCTCCCCACTTCCTCCCTTTTTTTTTTCTGAACTCTCTAGAGGCCAATTCTTTTGTCTATTCTTGGGGAAAAGAGGAAACAGACTTGAGTGTCTGTGCAAGCAGGGGCGACAACCAGACATTAGGGGTTTATTAAGCACTTAGATTTTAATTGGATTTTTTTCTTTTGTGATGTCATTCATCACAGCCACTGTAAAAGACAGAAGTTAAACAACAACAAATAAAAGGTTGTAGGCTGCCTGAGGCATGTTTTTACTAATTTCAGTTTAATGTGGCTGTTCCATTAAGTTTAATCATCTGGCTCATTTTTAATGATTCACCATCAAGTAAAAATTATCCACTCTTTTCACCCCCAAAAGTCACATCTCACCTGTGGCTCTTTTTGCTATAATGCCTGTGTCTCATTCTGAGTCAGAAAGGAGCTTTGAGACTGGTATTTTCTTTTGTCTCTTTTTTTTCTGTTGGCTAATAAATAAAGGCATTTGCATTTACTGGCATGATCCCCTGGAGTATGTCACCAGTCAGTGACAGTGTCTTGGCCTGTGTCCCTGGAGACATAGCATCCCTTTTACCTGGCACATGTACTAACTCCCAATGTAATTTTGAAACATTTTAATGTGCAACATTAATTGTATAGAATTATAGTGGTCTGTGAAGCTAGGTAATGGTGTTGTGTTACTCCTATTTCCTGTGCCACTGACTCACGGTCCTTGTCAGTGCCCAAGCTGAATCTTCTGCGCACGGAGACAAAACACTGAGTCTAAGCAAGAGCTTACAGATGGCACAAGGAGGTCCTTAGAACAGCCAGCAAAGAGCTTGGAGAGAAAATATGTCATGTTTGCCTGAAACAAAACAGTGAATTATAGCCAATATGTTTATAGGGTAAGGTACAAATGTATCATGGTGTTGTAAGAAATGAATAATTCTTATCTGAGATATTTTCCAACCATGGGTGAATAGTGGTGGTGAAAAGATGGTATCTGACTGGGATTGAGGTGGGGAAATCCATCTAAATCAGAGTGAAACACTATGGTGGCAAACAGGTTGACTTTCATCTTAAATTACAGAGTAAGTCAGAGATCAAGTTATGCCACATAAAGAATTATTTGGATTTTAACAAATTGTTTAACTAGCGATACAGGTGGATCCATTGCAACAATGAGAAGTACAAGTCGTTATGTCGAAAACGAACTTTACAACTTTGGGGGGAGGGGAAGATTGGGTGGGGGGGTGGGGGGAGGATGTGAAGGGGAAACAAAGGAGGAGGCTACAATGCTTGATACGAAATGTACTCATTATCTTGCCCATGTAATTGTAACCCCTATGTACAGTATTTTCACAATAAAAAAGAATTATTTGGATTTTAATATACTTATAGGTGTCCATAAATACTTAAGCATCTTTCTATAAAACTCATGCCTATATATACTATAAGGTCATGGAGGCTGGGAAGAAATTGAGCTCTGTTTGAAATACAGGGCATGGATTAGAAACTGATTCTGTTTTAGAGATTATGGATTAGGTGAATATTTTTTAATAAAGTCTTGTATTACAAAATGGGTGATACTAATCATATATGTCATATTCATAAACTGCTTTGTTAAATGGCAACTCCTTTGTACTACTTAAAGATAATAATGGTAATAATACAAAGTAAAAAAGTAGCATAAAGAAGTCAAACGATATATTTCTATGCCATATGTGGGTGTGAATTATCTAGAAGGTATTGATTGATTTATAGCTGATTATTCTTTGGAAGATTAATAATAAAGAAAAAGTTGAAGACAGCAAGGAGCTAGTTGTTGTTC